CCACTGGCCCGAACTCAGCCATGAACCAAACCTGACTGAAGGGAGGCTGAGTCCTGGAATCTATCTGCTGCTTGTTCTGCCTTTGTCCCCACGTTCAATTCTCCACTGTCTTTGGCCCTGCTTTGGGCCTCAGAAGACTGACATCACCTGTAGAAACCATCACCCAGGATCTCTTACTTGCAGATAGGTTCAATGTGGGAGGCACAGGCAAGAGATCGGAGAGCTAGAGTTTGGGGGTTTTAGTCCCCTACCCTGCTACATTTCACTGTGTAAAAGAGTCTGACTCTATTTTGGTGCTTGATGGGTGACAACATTTAGGCATCCACCACTGTCCTTTCCACCACATCATTTCTGCTGCTTTACATAAGGAAACCCCCCACACCTTCTGAGTTCCTGACACCAATGGGAGGTTTGGATCTCTCAGTCCTAGCCCAGACATGGGAACCTGTTTCAAGGCAGAGGTGGGGCAGGGGGCGCTGAATGATATAAAAGACTCCCCCCTTTTTCTCCGGGGTTCCCCCCTAACTACTGGATTCGTTGTGCCCACCACCGGAGGAAAGATGTCTCTTAATATCAGAGATCAGTGAAGAGGAAAGGAACTTATTATTTATTTGAAATAATACAAACGGAAGTTCTCCACAAATGCACATAGTCCTCCCAGTACCTTCCACGTGGCAAAAGGGAGCACTTCCAAAGCCTCGTGGTCCTGACTCTCACCCAAGCCCTGTGGTTCCAACCAAGACACCGAAGCTGTGTGCTTCTGGAAAGAGATGCGTGCTTCCAAAAATAGAGATGCCAATGGCTACCTCGCCTCCATTTAAATCCCAGCACCAATCTTCTTCTGCAGCCTCATTTCTAGCTCCTCCCACAACTGGCCACAGCTGCTAGCATTCCGGGCACATGTGGCCCTGTTGCGTGGAGCCAATCATCTCTAAGCTTTTCTGGACCCTGTTACAAATCCCTGTCTGGGGCTCCCCTCTTGGCTGCACCCGGTTACAAACACCTTCTCCACTCTGATCCCCCATGCCCGATGAAGGCCAAACCCACTCTCTGCTCTTTGCTCTGCCATTCCAGACTGCCTTGCTCCCCTGAAGCTCCTTGTGTGTGAGCAATAACCTTTCTTTCAAACCCTTTGGTACATGAAGTGTCATCAGTCAAGACACTCATCCGATTAATTGAGAGGAGTCCATCTCCTAAGCCTGGGATGACCCAAAGACAGGCAACGTTATCCGAGAGTAGTTGGAATGCCTGGGGTGGTAATGACTGACTCTTCTTGCTGGTGTCTGGGGGCCTCGGAATTCTTAGGGATTTTCTTATTCCTTTCTATGCCCCTGAAAATAGTCCTTTCACTGAAGTTTCTTGAGTCATCAGAGTTGGATTTTATTTTCTGCAACAAACCTGACTGATAACAGAAGAGGAAGAAACAGGTTTGGTGAGCAGTCAGTCAGTTGCTTTCATAGTGCAGACAGTGTGAAACTTCAGATTTTATCACTGTTTTGCAACAGATATTCAGGTATATGGGTACCTATCTCAGTAAATGGGATTTGATTAAGAACTTCAGTAGAGGAGGGTCTTTTACATGTAGTGGACATTAAAGTGGCATTTGCTCTAAAACATTTTTGAAGAGTAGGGTGACATTTGGACATGTGTTGGGATAAAGAATACTCACTTGAGACTGGACTTTGGCTAATGTGGGACAAGCAAGTTTTATATAATTCTTCATTGTAAAGCCCAATGTGATTATTAGTGATGGAGCACTACTGTAAAACTTAGCCTGCAAACTACACACATTTTTTTTCCCTACAGCACATTCTGCTGAGGCACGCTTACACCTCCCCATCTTAGCATCATCTTATGCTGGGGATTAGTCCATGTAATTAGGAGGAGATGCTGCTTGAAATTCCACAGATGAACTGGCTGCCTGTATCTTAGTCTTGGGTTTTGCATTTAACTTAGGCATCTGAAACTTGTGTTCCATGCTTTATTAGATTTTTACATCAAGTTTCCTCCAAATTGAGGGGCATTTTTCAAATTCCCTTAAAGTTTGTGAACAAGAATCTCCAAGGAGATTTTGCTGTCTTTGCTCCTGATTTGTGTGCTCTCAGTAGCTTGCAGCACTTTCCAGCCTCTCTGGTGTTAAATTAATAACAAATGATGTCGAGATGACAGGTAGGTGAAAATGGAGGGTACCGTGATATTAAAAAAAATCTCAATCTATTATGTAGCACAATGTGCAACACTTTGTCAGGTTTTGCCTGTAGGTATCTTAATTTAACTTAAATATTTTGTTCACATCTTTTTAACTCAGAGGATGGAAACATAGCCTTTAGCACCTCTATAGCAGACTTTGTAGCATATATTAGTTGTGAGGCAGAATACCAAACTTTGCCAGTTATTTGAAAATGAGCTGAAGAAAATAAAAAGGATAAATATATTTTCTTGGTGGAGGAATTGTAAGGTTCTCACTAGAAGTTAGAAGGGGTCGTATTTGGATGAATATCAAGATCATTTTCTCAAAAGCAGAGCCATCCAGCTCTGATGGCCTCAAAATGAGCGTGCTCCTTGTAATTACAAGTATTTAAGCAATGGCTGATCATCTGCCAAGAATTCCTTGGAAATGATTCTTAGTAAGTATGCAGAATATTGAAAAATACTTCAGATATGTTTAAACTGCATGCATTTAATCTGTTTCATATATTAAACTTCAATGCAATGTTTGTTGAAAAATATTTGTTACAGAATGTTTCAAACATACACATAACTAAAGACATACATACACCTAGAGAGAATAATATAATGAATTCTTATTACTGATCACCCAATTTCGACAATTACAAAATTTCCTTTTCTGAGGAATGGCTTGATTAGATGATATCTGAAGTCCCCACAATTCCAGTTTATAGGCAACATAAGCTTTTCTGTCTCGAAGGGCCTTTTTCTTGGTATAAATTGAAAGAGAAAATTTTAATTTGTGCCCCTTCCTGACCTGTTCTCTTGGCCACTGGTTCTCTTCATCTCCACCCTCAGCTTTTCTGTGGACAACTGCTCCTTTCTCTGCTGGGTGAATATTGCTCCCTCTCCACGAGTCTGTGGAGAGATGGAGAAGGGCAGACCCCACATCCATTTCTGCACTCTTCATTTGTTTCCTTACCTTGCTGAAGGGTCAAGGTCAGGATGAGGCTTTTTGAACATTACTCCTCTGGAACAACACCTTCAAAACTGTTCCTTTTGATTGAAAGGACTGTGAACTAACATGCTAAATCATCTGGACCCCAGTTGCCTGACATGTAATGATGGGGTGGGCATGGGAGAACCATTATAGACAAGGCGTACAGCAGTTATGGGTCTTACCAATTATGAAATTCACATGGGCACGTGCTGTTTGCTGCCTGCTCCATGATTAGGGCTCAATCCTATCGCCTGGGAATGAGCTGCCATGGCTCTTGGTTCCATCTTCTGGAGATGTGGTCCTGTTTGAAGCAGAGTAATATCTCAGTCTACTGTGGTCCTGTGTCAAGCAGAGTAATATCTCAGCCTACTTCCTAACCATAGAAACTATAGCATGCAAAGGCATTATTTTATTTTGTACTGTTTATCCCTCTTAATTCAAACTAATATAATTCTTTAAAACATCACAGGTTTTATTGTGCTTTACTTTGTAATCCATTCCATTAGACAAAAGCAACACCTGAAATTTCTTGAATAAATACTTCTGCAGCTCTGGTTCTCTGTAACGCAGGTGAGGCACAATAATTTTAAGATCCTTAGAGAGACTATTTTCTATTTGGAAGGGGTGCTACCTTCTGAGATCTTAACCAAGGGTTTTACAGTTATACCCTTGGTTTCATCTTTAGACAGGTTTCTCTGATCACAGCTTGGATGGTGTTTTCTAACATGAGCATTGCTTGCTATCTGGAAAGGCTGGGCATGAGAAAAAGTTCTATTTATGAACTTAGTAAGTCCTGGTTCCTTCACGTTTAGCAGTTCTTTGGTTTACTTTATTTCTCTACTCACAGTTTACTACAAGCAGCTAACAGAGGCAGGCAGCACTTTCAATGCACTGTTTGGAAATCTTAGCTGGATTATTTCTTTCCGAAGTGCATATTCTATTACCATGTTCTCACAGCAACAGTGTTACTAAATTTTCTTTTACTACATCACAAGCCTCCCCTTTTCTCTAGCTTCCTGGGACATTTTCATCCTTTTCCTTTGAGCTCTCACTGGCAGCCTTTTGGGGATGATCACCAACATTCTGCTAACAGTCTTTTGAAGGCCCCGGGACTACCAGCCGCTTGATTCTGGAAACTAGCACAGGTTCTAGGAGTCTGTTAGGGCATCACCCCGCCCTCCAGATGCCAGACTCTGGCTTTTATTATCTATGTAGTCCATAGCACGACATCTAGTAAGTACGTAGAGGACATTGGATGTGGAATTGGATTTTCAGTTATTTTTATATTTTTCATATTGTAAATGATGATCATATGTGGTTATGGTTATTTTCATTTTTCTTTTATTGTATGAGAATCTTAAAGTTATATGAATGAGAGGAGAGTAGTCATTTCTTCAACAGATCAATGGCATTTTGAAAAGTTTTCTTTTAAAATTACTTAAGTACACAGTTTGAGACTGTGTTATTTACTTTCACTCCACAGAGGCATTAATGGGACCAGGTAATAGTTTATAAAGCAAACACAAAGATCAAAGTCATTTGAAAATTAGCTTGATTTTCTATTTTGGGGGACTGGGAGTGTGGGATTGATGGAAATGATGAACTTTCAACTCATTTCAATTTAAGACCATTCTTGCCACCCTGGCTGGTGTGTGTTTGAGTGAATTGAGTGCCAGGCTGTGAACCAAAGAGTCAGTGGTTTGATTCCCAGTCAGGGCACATGCCTGGGTTGCGAGGAGGTCTCCAGTAAGGGGTGCACGAGAGGCAGCCACACATTGATGTCTCTCCCTTTTTCTCCCTCTCTTCCCCTCTATCTAAAGATAGATAGCTGGGCCTCCCAGTGCTTAGCACAGGCTGCGTTCTTACACCGCCTGTACAGAAGGAGGAGACAGAGTAAACCCACCCCATATACACACCTTGGCCCAGGCCTGTTGCCTGGTCAGTATTGTGAATGGGGGGACATGTAAAAAAGTAATAAAAATAGATACTTAGATAAATAAATATATAAATAAACAAAAGACATTTATTTTAAAAAGACCATTGTCTCCAACAAGAGAAATTTAATCCACTTCAACTATCAAATCATTGGCTGCACATTATATTTATTTATTAAAGTAATTATGCAGTGGGAATACATTTTTAAAATATATTAAAATGGTAAAAATGTCTCGGAGTTTTCATTTCTTATCTTAGCTGTTTGTAATGATGGCATCATCCCAGCTGCGGGAGTGTGTGAGCTTGCTTGCTTTGGGAGTTGTGTGGGTGTGTGTGCATCACCTGTGGCTTCCCCTTGTGTCCCTGCATAAGCAGATAGGGCAGGTAACAATAATGCAAGTTGGGGACACAAGAGAGCAGAAGCACCAGCATCTGCACACTGTGGGGAACAGATCTTGGCAGCATGTCCCCATGCAGGTACATTTCCCCCACTAGTCTCCATGACTGCTCACTCCCAGGGTCTAGCCTACAAGGCTTGGTGGTCTGTCCTCAGTCACGGAGGCATGCAGGAAAAAAATTGCACTTATAGCCCTCAAATTTCAAAAGTAGGTGGGAAATGAGTGCAATCACAAAACTATTATTCACTGTCATAAATAAATTCTTTTTTTAAATTTATTTTGTATTGATTATGCTGTTACAGTTGTTCTATTCCCCCCCTTCATTCCCCTCCACCCTACCCCCTGTCCCCACCATTACCCCCCCCTTTAGTTTATGACCATGTGTCTCAAGTTCTTTAGATTCTATATTTCCCATACTATTCTTGCCCCCCATCTATTTTCTATCTACTGTCTATGCTACTTATTTTCTGTACCTTCTCCCCCCTTCTCCTCCTCCCACTCCCCTGTTGCTAACCCTCCTTGAGATCTTCATTTCTATGTTTCCACTCCTGATCTAGCTGTCCTTTTAGTTTGCTTTTGTTTTAGGTGTGGTTGTTAATAACTGTGAGTTTGTTGTCCTTTCACTGTTCATCTTTTTTATCTTCTTTTTCTTAGATAAGTCCCTTTAACATTTCATATACTAAGGGCTTGGTGATGATGAACTCCTTGAATTTGATCTTATCTGAGAAGCACTTTATCTGCCCTTCCATTCTAAATGAAAGCTTTGCTGGATAGAGCAATCTTGGTTGTAGGTCTTTGGATTTCATGACTTGGAATACCTTTTTCCAGCCCCTTCTTGTCTGTAAGCCCCTTCTTTTCTCTTTAGAGAAATCAGCTGACAGTCTGATGGGGACTCCTTTGTAGGTGACTGTCCCCTTAGTGCTTGCTGCTTCTAGGATTCTCTCCTTCATTTGAATCTTGGCTAATATAATAATGATGTACCTTGGTGTGTTCCTTCTTGGGTCCAACTTCTTTGGGACTCTCTGAGCTTCCTGGGTTTCCTGGAAGTCTATTTCCTTTGCCAGATTGGGGAAATTCTCCTTTATTATTTGTTCAAATAAGTTTTCCACTGGTGGCTGTTCCTTTCCCCCTTCGGGTACCCCTATAATTCGGATGTTGGAACCTTTAAAGATGTCCTGGAGGTTCCTAAGCCTCTCCTCATTTTTTTGAATTCTTGCTTCTTGACTGTTTTCTGTTTGGCCATTATTTGCTTTCTTCTGGTCCACTCCATTGATTTGAGTCCCAGTTTCCTTTTCATCACTATTGGTTTCCTGTGCAATTCCATTCATTTCAATTAGTTTCACTTTCATATGTTTGTCTAATTTGTGGCTATAGTCAACCAGTTCTGTGAGGATCCTGATCACCAGTGTTTTAAACTGTGCGTCTGAGAGTTTTGCTATTTCTTCATCACTTAGATTTATAGGCTCTGGGGCTTTGAGATCTTCTTGAGCCATTTTTGGTCTGTTTGTGCCTGTTAAGTCTGAGGAGTGGAGCCTTAGACTCCCAGGTTGCTGGGTTGTGACTCTGTATGTGGAGGTGGGGTCAGAGCGGGGAAATGGCAGCCCCCTCTGCTGTTTGTGGCAGCTGGGTGAAGAGCAGAGCCTTAGGTTGTTCACCGGGGCAGGGCCACTTACGTCGTTGGATTATGATGCTGTATGTGGAGGCGGGGTTACAGTGGGGAAATGGCAGTGCCCTCCACTGCTTGCCACTGGGGCTGCTGGCTCTCATCCAATCACCCACTCTCTCGCTTGTCTATCCACGCAGGGATGCGCGACCACAGTCAACCCGCAGCCCTGCTTCCTTGCTGTTTCCCCGCGATTGCTTGCTGAGTTGCTCACCAGGTCCAACCCTGTGCCTGGATTCCGCGTGCCTGAGTCCGTCTGACCGAGTTTTCCTGTGCAACCCCGCTCCACCAGCTGCTGGTTTCGCCCCTTACCGGTCAGGCTGAAGAATTTGTTGTTAACGGACTTCTGAAAAGTTCAATTTTCTGTGTTCTGGCTGTGTTTTCTATTGCTAATATTTAGTTGTCTCTAAACTTGGTTGTGTGAGGAAGCACGGCGTCTCCACCTATGCCTCCATCTTGGTGGAAGTCCCATAAATAAATTCTTTACGAGGATGGCTTTCTTTGGTATTTTAAAAAATGGTTGATACTTGTTCTAAAACTAGCAGCACATTTAAAAACTTTTCATGCAGCATAACTTGCCTACAGAAAAGTGTACTAATCATAAATATATAGCTTGATTAAATTTGACCAATGGAACACTCTTCGTAACTCTAACTTAAAGCAACATTTGTAATCCGTCTAGGCACGACCTATGCTGATCACTGAAGATTAGTTTTTCCTGTTGTTAAACATTGTCTAAATATTATCATATAGGACATACAATTTTGTTAGATTGTACTGTGACAGCTGTCATACCAGTGTGTATTAAAAAAACTTATTAAAATCGGTGAATTTTTGTGTAGCCATTTAAATATTGAAGATGGGAGAAAATATGCAACATTTTCATCATATTATGTTTTATTATGTCAGGAAAAGTAAACACACACTGAAATGCAAAAAGGATTTATGCAGTGTATGGAGAAGGTGCTGTGACTGATTGAATGTGTCAAAAATGGTTTGCGAAGTTTCGTGCTGAAGATTTCTTGCTGAACGATGCCCCATGGTTGGTGGACCAGTTGAAGTTGATAGCAAGTAAATGAAGACATTAATTGAGAGAATTCAATAACATACCATGTGGGAGATAGATGACATACTCAAAATATCCTAGTCAATAAAATTATTGGTGAAAATGAAAAATGTGTCTCTTATTTTGTGGAAAAAAAACCATACAAACTTTTTGGCCAACCCAATACTTATGCTTTCTTTACCAATACCTTTCCTTTGCCTTTAAAAAGAATTGACCTTGAATTACAAATTCATTTCTTTAGTTTCTAGGTTATTTTATTTAAAACGTGTTCATCTGATTTCTTCCCCTTAGAACACTATTACATTTCAGACAGTTATTTTTAAACTGTGTTTTGTGGATTCCAAGAATGTTTCTTAATCTTCTCTGTGCTTCCCACCATGAATTACAGGCATGGTGCTCTAGTGCCTGCCTCCATCACTTTCTTCATCCTCCACTCCTGTATTCTTGTTCTGCTCCAACCATGGGATCTCTGGTATTGCTACAAATAAGTGCGAACCACAGGGTTAAGAAACTAGTAGCACAGTGCCAAAATTACCACTGAAAGTCTTACATCTGATGACCCAGTCAAAGAAGTCTGACTAAGATAGATTGTGCTCTATTTTCTTATGCTCACACCCTTGTACTGTTCATTTTCTTGTATTTCACATTTGGTCTGGCCAATTGGCAGAGCTGTGTAATTCTCTGCGAGGAGTCACTTTATGGCTTAATATCACATGAGAAGCCATCCAAACTGGGTTTAGTTTCCACCTTATCTTGTAAAACTAAAATCTATTTATGATCTAAAATTTATGTACTGTATTTGTGTTTATTATATTTACTATCATACTTATTGCCACTGGAATGTTTTAAGTTCCCATGTCTAAAAGCTTACTTCACCAGCTATTAATATTATGTATTTGGAAGAACCACTCTAAAAAGCACTTAAAAACATCAAGCTGATGTGCACTGCAGGTGCTAAAAATAATATTTACTCAGTGGTTCTTGGTTATCCTTGACTTTTAAATGTTTTTCTGAGCCCCTTACTCCCTGGCTTGGGTGTTGTTTGGAAACTGACCAGCTGATGTCACCATTGCACCGTGAATGCATGCATATTTCAAGACCCTTGCTGGGAGAAGTTTTGAATTGGCGTTTTAGCAGCCCTGGGAAAAATAGCCTCACTCCAACTCAGCACAGCCTCTGCTGTCCTTCTCTCTCCTCTTGCCTTCATATTTTATAAAATTGAGAAATAGTTGACAAATTTGATTTTGATGGAGAATTACCTATAGGTAAGAGGGCAATCAAGTGCATACTGTTAAGGAGTGGGGTGGGTGGAGGTGAGACAATGAATCTATGGCATAAGTTTAGCAAATGCAGAGTATCGGGCTAATAGTTCTTCAGTTTCTTTTCCTATGCTGTACACTTTCATTTCCCTCTTTTTAGATACAACTAACTTAGAACTGTCTATAAAGGAGCTGATTAACTGGGTGATGTATTTTTCTAGATTTATTTCCTGTATCCTTTCCAGTGCCTACCCTTGACCTGTTTGGACCATCACAGAGACCCAAATGGACTTGGAATTTCAAATTAGTCTCTTGGTCACAAAGTTTTAGCAGATCATGAAGGTGGGTGTGGAGGAAAGTTGAGAGTTAGACCTAATAAGAGGTTTGGAATTATCTATAAGTATAGGACATTTATTTCACCACTCCCTATCCCCCCCCACAAATCATGCACACATTCTCAGGGGACACAGGGGAATGGACAAAACATTATGAGTTTAAAACTGTGTAAGGAGAAGAGTACTGCTGGCTCAGGGTCACTGACTGCACAACCCACGTTAGTCTGTCCAGGCTGCTGTGACAAAATTCCATGGACTGGTGGCCTAAGAAACTGAAATTAATTTCCTCCCAGTTCTGGAGGCTGGAGG